AGTTTTATTACCTGAATACTTAGCAGTTACCACTAACATTTTCAGCTATTGCCCTGCTCACTGTCAGACCATGGTGCCAGATATGCCTTCTGACAGCCCCTTCCTGCAAAGAAACCATGCAGGGGAGAAAGTGAAAGGGGAAGAAGCCTGCAATGTAAATATAGTGCCAGCATAGCTATACCCAGACATTCCTGCAGCTGTCCCACAAAACTAACCTATCCTTAGGGAGCTGCTGGAGTTGGGGAGTCAATAGGCTGCATCTGTGTGCCGACTCCAGGTCCTTGGCACCACATGGTGCTCTTCACAGGGGTGGATGAACACTGTTCTGTTCTTGTCCCAGAGTGCTGGGTTATACATGTGTCTGTGGGCTAAAACCAGCTTTTCCTGTATCATTGTATTTGTTTAAATCTTTCTTTAGGAAATTATAACTCTGACTTGTAACCTCTCTTGAGTTGGGTTCATTTCTTCTGCTGGTTTACTTTTAAACCAGTACAGTTACATAGTGGTGTCCTAAAATGTGCCTTTTTCTGAAATAAAAATTATTTAAATACTTTCAAAGACAGGAATACACTCTAGAAGCTTGGATTTGCTTTCTTGCCAGTTGAATTCCTCAGTTTGAATTTAAAGGAAGATTTACTTGCTATTACATAAAGAATCTGCTGCTATCTGTTCTTGTCTGGCCCCCGTGGACAATGGGCAGCCATGGGAGAAGATGACATGAGAGTGCTGTGGTGGTGTTTGCAGACAAACAATTGTTCCCTGGCTCCCAAGTGTGTATCTTATATTTTTGTGGATTTGTGCTATCAAGCTCTTTTCCTGGACACATTTTAGTTGTGTGTTTGCTGTTCCACTGGTTGTCTGTGGGAACTGCAACTTCTTGAAGAAATATGGTATCTCTGTAGAGTCCTGTGCCTATAGAGCTGACTCTTCCACATTAAGAGTCCTGCTTAGCGAAATACTTTTAAATTTTCAGAACCAACTTAGTTTTCTTCACAATCCCACTGATTAAGTATTATGCAAGGTAAATTGTCTTCAGGAACCCGCACAACTTCACAGTCTTCATATTATGCCCAACTGGCACAGTTTTGGTCACATTACTTTCATTAGAATTGCACATTCACTGACACGTGATAAACAATTCTGCCATGCTCGAAAGTAAAATTCAGCTTTTTCACAGCTGCATTTGCTTCACAAAGGGGGCAAATGTTGATGAGTAAAACAACAGCATATGTAGGTAGTCAGTTTTCAGAGGAGAGCCTCATGAATCGTAGCAGCAGACCCAGACACTGAATTACCACTAGAAATGAGCTGGGAAGGAAGTATAAGTGCATTTGTGAGATAGTAATATTTTTCTCCAAGGATCAGGAAAATGAATTTTTCACTGAACTCTTCTAGTTTTAAATACATCCAGTGATGCCATTATTATCCTTAAGGAACCTAAGCAATGTAGGTGTTTCTGCACACAGTTAACTACTAGAGTAAAGGCTCATTACATGTATGCTTGACTTATTTTTATTATTTTTAATCTGTTTATTTTGTTGTGCAGTCCTATCCATTAGGCTTTTTAGGGAGATTTATATTTTACAGATTCCTCTGTTATAATTTTAATTTCGTTCACTTTCTTGAAAGATTGTCTAGAGACTCTGAGAAATGAGCAATCCAAATGTTTGGTGTTGACAATTGTGTTTTGATATTCAATGATTTCTTAAACAGGCCAGCATGTTTGTGGTATGGTTCCATACTCACGAAGAGAATAAACCCTCAGCCTCCTTTCTTTCTCTCCAAGGCTTAATATAGGCTGCTGAGATTGCAGTGCCACCTCTGGGTAAAAAGCAAAGGCAGAGATGTCATGTGCATGAGGTCTACAGCTAGGGGAAAACCACTCTCCCTGGATGTTAATTATGTACAAAGAAGGCAATGAAGCATGTGTTCTATACGGGAGCTTGAATGCTGAGACTGACATATCTGTGATCGTGGTGCATTCACCTACCTTTACTTTAAGTAAGGCAACTTGGGTACCAGTAACATTTCGGCTGAGGCAGAAGGGATCTCAGCACAGGGCAGCAGTGCATTTGGGTGCTCAGTTAGGCCTGTGTTATTTTCTGTGAGCACAGGACAGTCACCAGCTTGAAGTTAGATTGGTAAGGCTATTCCATACCTAAGGCAGTATGAACATTTGCAACCTCAGAATCTTTTCCTTGGTTGATTCCTAATGTATGATAGTTTATGCATCTTACACAGGGCAGATACAATTATAAGCAAGCCAAAATATCTGAAGAATTCATGTGTAAAATATTTTAATGAGTAGAGGAAGGTATTTATTCTTCCTTATCAAACTTAAAATAAAAGCAATAAAAGTTAAACATTTTAGGAGTCCAAACCAATAATTTTTATCCATTCATTTGCCAGACCTGTGAATCCAAATAAAACCTTTCTCAAGGTACTTTAACATATTTTTCCATTTCCTAACTGGGATTGACCAAATCTTAATTTGCAAAGTTGTGGTGTTTTCTTATTAAATATTTTCTACTTTTGAATTTGGCTACAAAATAAGATTTATCTTATTTCTGTAATTTCTGGGAATTTCATTCTGTTATTGGTATTCACCTTTCCTCAGGGGAAAAAGAATATACATGCACTGAACTATAACCCATTATACAGCTTATTCAAGCTGTTACTTACATACCATACTGCAAAGCTTCCGAAAAAAAAAAATCATGTATTTCAGCAAACTGTCAATTTATCAGACATTTCTATTAACTGCAAATGTGTAGTGAGAAGGTACAGTAGTGGTTTAATATATCGTAAAGACAGACAATGTATGAAAGTACATGTTAATCTACATTTTTAGGAATTACAGATAAGACAGCTATGTGCACAGTACTTTAAAATGCAGTGAACTTCTCTTCTAGTTGCATTGACAATACCAGTTCCTTACACAGTTGAACCTGGTTAAAAGCTCTATTCCCAGTGTAATAAACGTAACACCACAGGTACAACATTGACAACAGAGATTAAGGCTCTGTTCTGATGATTGTTTATTTCCTGTGCATACCTCCCTTCCACTCTCCTCTTATCCCCAGTTCTTTCCTCCCCAACATACCCGATTGTTTTTATACAGAATGAAAAGCTCATTGCCTCCAGAGGATTCAGGAATAAAAACTTAAGATAAAAGAATGTAATCCGAATGTAATGAAATGTGTAATGAAATGTTAATTCATAGTAAGAGCAATATCTGGCACTTATAATATTTTTGTTTTGTTTTGTTATTTGGGTATGTCAGAAGAAACCAGCATTCACATCCCATTATTCTAAACACACCACAACAGGTAGCACACAGAGGACAGAGTTCAGACTGAAGATCATACAGTCTGATCGGGTCTCAACAGTCTTTGTGAATTTGAGGAAGAACAATCATCTCTATATTTAAGATACAGAAGGTGAGGCACAGAAAATGTAAATGCCTTTCTCAGAGATACACAATGAACCGGTGACAGACTTTGGGTCTGTTGACTCCCCAGCCACTGATTTAAATCTTGGCCCGTTCTGTCCTCTTAAACAATGTAGAGAAGATCTGAGATACACAACATGGGCCTAGTATCACAAGGGAATCAGTGTCAAATGCACACAGCCTGATTCTGCACTACCTTTTGGCATCTGTAGTCATGTTTACTTTGTAAAGAGGGCCTAAAATGCCCTCAAATCAAAGTTGATTTGGTGTCAATTACTAATACATGCACTTTAATAGAGAATCAGGCTCACAGCAATCACTCTGTGGCACGCTGAGACTAGAATTAACTAACAGATTTAATTGCTAATGAATTAAGGCTGATTCCTTATATTAAGGCCTCTGTATCCTTCCGTGATAGTGTAACTGTGCCTCAGTGCAAATAAGACTCAGGCTATAGAAAAACCTAATCTTTCAGTTGTCTTCAAAATCAATAATTTTAGTGGCCCTGAATCTATAAAGTAACTGGAACCAAACAACCTGTCTCTATACTACGGAATATTAAAAAAAATTATTGTAAAAGAACGTAAAAGCAACTCAAGAGAAAACCAATTGTATATTTGTTGAAAACAAAAATTGATTAGATAGACTTGTTGCCTGGACTTGAAAATGGAGAATTGTACATGATAACACACTTCTATATGAAGATAACTGTCTTGATATTCAGTGGTTATGAGTGTGCCCAGATAACCTGTAGATGCTTATCAACTCTGAAGATCAAGTTACCTTCTGTACTACTACAATAAAATAGAAATAGATTTATTTGGTATTTAAGTGCTAGACCTAGTTTGCATAAAGCTAGTGTGTGTTATATTCAGAGGAGTAGGAAGATGACCTCAAGCTCAGTAAAATGCTACATGTTCACAGATTTCTCCTATTTTTGTTGTTATTAAAAGCTATTATGGGTTACTTTCTTAGAATAGGTGTTCTCTAACTTTGCCCTCTGTAGCTAAACACCATTTTAGAAATTCCTTCCTCTCCAAACACTCTATTCATAATAGTTTTAGTTTAAAACCTTCCTATTCTAGACAACAGTTTAACATTTGCTGGCTAAGAATAAAACAGTCCTTGCTCTATTCAAATTTAAGGCCTGCGTCCCCAAGGGTTGCAGCACTTCTTAACTTATTTTTACTCCTAGTTAGAAGTAAATTTATTTTTTAAAGCTAATATGGAGTCTTTTTGTGTAAATTAACGTAATTCCTTAGGCATCAGTGTGACTATGATAATTACCCAGCTGAGAATCTGGTCACTGAAATGTAACTCCAGTGGTTGGGAAATCTGTTTTGTATACAAGCCAAATAACAGCTGGATCATATGTGATGTTATGTTTAGTTTCACTGGCAATTCAGAAAATATTTAATAATAAATTCCATTGTTTCTATTCCCTATTTTGTATACAAATAAATAATCTTTTCTAAAACATTCTTTTTCTTTAGTAAGGCTTGTACTCATAGTCATATCAAAAGCGTTTGCTATTGGAGCAATCTTTCAGTTTGCTTTCTTTAGAGTTATCTTTATTATCAAATTCTACAGCATTCTAAACTTTAATAGTCATTAGCAACCCTGCACTTGAGTAAAGAATCAGATTAAAAAAGTATAAGGTATAATATTTTCTTATCCAAAGCTAAGGCAGAATGAACAAAAGTAATGAGGTCATCTGATCCTCACCTATCAAGCCTTGAATTTTAAACAGTATTCAAAATACAAAGCCCAAGCGAGGATGTTGTCACGACAATTATTGCGCTTTCTCAGTGTCTTGCCATAGCATTAGTTTTCCCTTTAGCAATATATAATTTCTTTTCCTGAAGACCACATAAAGTTATCATACTATGTAAAGGAAAAAAAGCACTTAAACTTTTATGAATTATGACCTAGACAGAAGGATACAAAACCAAATTACTGTTCTATGATTCAGCTATGTCATGATCTAATACTGTTTCAAAACCATTATTCTGTTATTTAGGTTGGCATCATCTTCTGAACACCCCATGGGCTCTTTGGCATGCTACAAATTCAGCAGATGCACTGTCTTCTGGGCTTTACAGCTTCTTCTGATGAATGTACAACATTTGGAACAAAGCCACTCTTGACACCTTCCCATCCATCTTGTATTGAGATTTCTCCATTTTTCACAAGTTCATAGATATCTCGTGTAAGAATTGTAAAGGACTCTTCAACATTTGTGGCATCTTTTGCTGAGGTTTCTATATATTTCATACCACAGTCAGATGACAGCTTTTCAGCTTCTTCTCTTGTGACCTCACGCTGTGACACTAAGTCACATTTGTGCCCTACCAATAGGAACACAATCTGAAAGGGCTGCACGTGCATTTTTGCTTCTTCTAGCCAGTCTTTCACATGTTCAAAAGATCGTCGATTTGTGAGGTCGAACACTAATAAGCCGCCCACAGAATTGCGATAATAAGAGCGTGTTATTGATCTATGAAGGGGGAAAAAAAGAAAAAGATAAATTAAAATGCATTTTCATTTTATTCATAAATAGATTACTTTTCCATTTGGCAATGTGTTTTTATCTTTTATACGTTTTATTAAATAACTTTGCTTTTTAAAAGCTAATTGGAATTTATTAATTTATCTATTAGACACAAAAATATTGGGGTTTTTCTTACATTCAAAAGTCACTTTCTAAACATTGCTGAATACAATTCCTCTAGGGCAAATTTTGAATGCTGAATTATTTTGCAAAGTGCACTTTATTAGCAAACCGTGGAACATGTTCACAGAATAAAAGATATATACTTTGGGTGTTACAGTGTGAGTCCTTCAGTTTCATACAAACATGCACTTTGCTTTGTTCTAAGCACTTATTTCAAACTGAAATAGGTACACAGATTTCAAGAAACCTGAAGCCCAAACTTGCCAATGTAGAGGTATATACTTTTGTATTCCTTCCAGAACCATACTTTAAAAGAAGGTTTGTATAGATAATCATAGCTCTTTGTGCTTGAAGAAGTCAATAAGTAGAAAAAGGAAACTTCCTGAACAAAACTGTCCAAAAGTAACTGATCTGGGCAAACACACACTTATTCCAGCATTGGCAAGGGACATGTCTGTCTCCAGCATCTCTCTCACACGGAGGCTAATCATTTATAAATTTATAATTTTTTGGCATGAGGACTGGTAACAGATATTTTCTACTTTTGAGCCCTCCAAGTTCCAGAATATTCACTGGAAGGAATTTTGGAAGCAGGAAACCCTTCCTCTAGTTGAAAGTATTTCTAATGTGCTCTAGAATAATAGAAAATGTCAGAATGTAGAGAGAAAGAGAGAAAGATAAAAGAAGTAATTATTGTAAGTCTCTAATAATGAGCAATCAGGGAGCATAGAGAAGGTGAAAAGAGACACTTTAAAAGAAGCGACAGCCTATCAAGGAGTGGATGTGAGAACTTGTTACCAGCATAAATGTACAGCTAGTCTATATATAAGTATTCTCCAACTGAAATGAGATACACAATCTCTATTAAAAGTTATTATTTGAAATCATAACTTATCCAAGAATTAATTCCATTTTATCTCATGATTACGAAGAGGACGCAGCCTCAAAACTTCTGGAAGCAGGATGAACTGTACAGTAACATATCTTTCCATAACAGTAGCTCCCTCCAACTTTCAGTTCACTGTATTTCATATGTTTTTTTTAATAACAATTTGAACATGGAGGTATAATTAGCAGCAGTAGTCCTATTACAGATAGGTAAGTGCACAACTAGATAAGACTTAGGCTTATTGGCATATAAATTCATTTAGCCACAGCAAACAGCATTTGAAATGGTTTTACTTAGATAACAGGGAGGGACTGTTTGCCCTAATGTTTTGAAAGATCTTTTCTACCTTCCCTGCAATAGAGTCCATGCAGTATCTCTCTGAATGTGAAGACAACAGAATCTTACCCTCAGATTATTTCAAATAGCCTCGATATGAAAAATATGATACACAGTTTTACAAAACTGTTTAAGACCATAAATGAGGGTATCACATTTTGTGAAGTATTAAAGGAAGTTGCCATACAGATTTGTTTCTGCTTTGCTTAACCATTTTTTTTTTCACTGTACAGGCTCTGCAAACACAAATGAGTGCATTAAAATAGTTCAGGTAGTTCTAGAAAGAAGAATGCTTTCCATGAAGAAATTTTTCCTAATATCCACTCTAAACCTCCCTTGTCATAAGTGCATTTCCCCTTGTCCTATCACTTATTACCTGGGAGAAGAGATCAAACTCCACCTGACTACAACCTCCTTTCAGGTAGTTGCAGACAGTGGTAAAATCCTTCCAAAGCCTCCTTTTCTCCAGGATAAACAATCCCAGCTCCCCCAGCTGCTCCTCACAGGCCTTGTGCTCCAGACCCTTCCCCAGCTCCACTGGCTTTCTCTGGACACACTCCAGCACCTCAATGTCTTCCTTGTAGTGAGGCCTTGTAGAGACCCAAAAATTGAATACAGGATTTGAGGTGCAGCCTCACCAGGCCCAAGTACACGGAGACAATCACTGCACTGGTCTTGCTGACCACACTATTGCTGTGGTCAGGATGCCACTGGCCTTCTTGGCCACTGGGCACACTGCTGGCTCATATTCAGACACGATTGACCAGCACCCCCGGATCATTTTCTGCTGGGTCAATTTCCAGCCTCTCTTCCCCCCAGTCTGTAGTGCTGCATGGGGTTGTTGTAATCCAAGGGCAGGACCTGGCACTTGGCTTTATTGAACCTCATACAGTTGGCCTTGGCTCATTGATCCAGCCTGTCCAGATCCCTCTGGATGATGTTTGTTAAAAATATCATCTACAAATATTTGGATAGTTTTACTATTAAGGTGATTTATCACTTGCAATTATATTTTAAAAGTATTCCTGACAAATAAGACAAAATTTTGAAGCAGAAAGTTTAGGCCACCAACTGGGAAAAACATCTGGGCATGTGAATGTGGTAGGTTTTTCAACAGCACCTGAAACACCTTAAAGATGCAAAATGTTCGACCTAAATATGACAATCAGAGTAGATTAAGTATTAGCATAATTTTTAGTAGACAACTTACAGTTATTTGGAAAATGAACTGTATGAAGTGGATGTACTCATTTATGCCCTGTATCACTCTCAGAATGAAAGAGCACTGATTGATGGTCTGGCAGGTCTCTCTGCTTTTATTGGGGCTTTTCTTGTTTTTTTTGGTTTGGTTTGGTTTGGTTTGGGGGTTTTTTTTGTGGGTGTGTTTGTTGTATTTTTTTTTCTCTCTAAAACTAATTGTAAGGGCAATTTTTGTCTCTTATTAATACTAGCAATAAAGACATTAGGGCTATTAAGTGCCTTCAACAAGTCTTACTCAAAACCAAAGCACCAGCATCTAAGTTGTGCTACACTCAGCTGCAGATCTAACCGTGGTGCCTGAATAAGTTCCCTGGGGGCCTGAGTGCTCTGCCTCTGCACAGGTTGTGAGCCACTCAGTGGGGACAACTCTGCTTTCCCTCTTAGCTCAGATCTTAGACGAAAACAAACTCTAGGCAAGTGCCCAGAAGGGTTTTGCTTGGGAGGGCTTCCCAAAAGCATGCAGGCATCCTCAGGTGGGTTCAAGCTCCTCACAAAACGCAGATGAAGTTTCTTTTAACACAGTGGAGGACCCTATCTTTCACAAAGATGCCTCATGTGCTACTTCACAAGACACAGGTCAGGGTTCACAGAGCCCACAGCACAGAGGCTCGGAAGATATACAGCTTTACAGATTTTACAGGCCTATGTCTTCACTTCAGTGATGAGGGTGTATGATGGCCAACAAAAGATGAGAAGGGTTGACAGTAAAAGGCTCTTCATGCAACTTGTAGGTCTCCTTTGGGAAAGATGTTATGAATGTAGAGTTTATCTATAATCCATGGAAGACTGAACAAGTCCTGAATAAGAGACTGAGTGAGCTTTAGTAAACAAAGAGCACTAACCTTTGGAAGTCCCTCAAGTTAAAAGTAGAGGATAGCAGAGTACTCAGGAGAATGCAAAGACTCTCTCAGAGACAAGATATCTGAGTGTGGACCATAGACAAAATCAGACGGGCCTTTTTTATGTTCTTTAATAAGCAGGGAATCTACTTAGGTGATTATACATACTTTGGTAAGTGCTGCAAGATTAGACTCTAAAAGCAAAATGAAGTTTTAAGTCCCTTATTTCATCACTTTTTGAACAGAAAGAAAAAAACCCCTTGGGTGACATGTCAGGTTTGATGTAGTCTCACTTATTCATAAGGGATGTTTAAATTTCCATTTCTCAAATTATCCCTATGCAGATCTTAAGTTCTTGTTGAAATTAGGGCTTCTTGTGTAAACTTTGGTTCAGCTTATTAATGTCATTAAACATGAATGATTCTATGCTGGCAAACGTTGGAATTTTCAAGAAGGAAAAGAAGGATGACCCTGGAAATTACAGGACTGTCAGTCTAAATCCAGTGCCAGGTAAAATAATGAAGAAGATTCTTCTGGAACTTACTGAAAAGCACCTGAAGGACAATGCACTCATAAGGAAAGTCCTGCTTGTCAAAGCTAATTTCCTTTTACAACAAGGTAACCCACCCACTTGATCAAGGGAAGCCAAGTTGATATAATCTTTTTGGATTTCAGTAAAGCTTTCCATACTGTCTCTCCCAGTACCCTTCTGGACAAAATGTCCAACACACAGCTGGATAAACATGTTATGTGATGAGTGAGCAATTGGCTCATGGGGCTGGCATAAAGGGTAATAGTGAATGGGGTGACACCAGGCTGGTGCTTTGTCACTAGTGGGGTTGCACAGGGCTCTTTCTTAGGGTCAGTGCTCTTCAACATCTTCATAAGTGACTTGGACATAGGACTTGAAGGTACACTGAGTAAGTCTGCCAATGATACTAAATTGGGAGGAGCTGTTGACTCTCTTGAAGGCAGGGAGGCCTTGCTGAGAGACCTTGACAAATTAGAGGACTGGGCAATCAGCAGCAGTGCCCTGGCAGCCAGGAGGGCCAACAGTGTCTGGGGGGACATCAGGCAAAGCATCACCAGCTGGTTGAGGGAGGAGATTGTCCCTCTCTGCTCTGCTCTGGTGCAGCCTCACCTTGAATATTGTGTGAAGTTTTGGGCACTATAACACTATTAGAGGAGGGCTACGAAGATGGTGAAGGGCCTTGAGAAGCCATACAAGGAGTGGCTGAGGTCACTTGGCTTGTTCATCCTGGAGAAGAAGAGACTAAGGGTAGACCTCATCTACAGCTTCCTCATGAGGGGAATTGAAGGGACAGGTGCTGATCTCTTCACTCTGATGATCAGTGACAGGACCCGAGGGAATGTCATGAAGCTGAGTCAGGGGAGGTTTAGGTTAGATATCAGGAAAAGATTCTTTATCCAAAGTGTGGTTGGGCACTGGAACAGGCTCCTCAGGGAAGTGGTTATGGCACCAAGCCTGACACAGTTCAAGAAGAATTTGGACAATGCTCACATGGTGTGATTCTTAGAGGTGTCCTTTGCAGGGCCAGGTGTTGGACTTGATGATCCTTGTGGGTCCCTCCCAATTCAGGATATTATATGATTCTTTGCATTAATTATGTCAGCCTATGGCTTTAGGGAGACTTTAAATCAGTCACAGTGTTTCTTTTTCATTATGATCTTACTGATCTTTACCAGATGAACCAAACTTTCACTGAAACCTTTATCTAATTCTGAAGAGTTATTTTTATACTATGACTAAAGATTACACTGTAATGATATTAATTTTGAAAATACATATGGCTTACTGAAAAAGAATAAGGGTAATGTTTTACTTTCAAGCCATGTGTTAGAAGCAGAATGTATCTAATATCATGGTCTACTAAAAAGTGAATATAAAAGTTAATTTAATGGAAGCATCTCCATAATATTTTGCACCTACTGAAATGAACTCTCAGTTTTAGCACCACTACCAAGCATTTTATAGCACTGGAGGTTTCATCTTTTAAATGTATTGTTGGATTTAAATATGGAGAAAGTAAACAAACAAACAAACAAACCAAAAATCATAGCCAAGTAGATGATGTAAAACACAGCCAAACCAGCATATTGCTCTAAATGACTAATCTGAAGATAGAAAGAAATTGAGGGTTTACCCCTCATTTATGTTAGTCTGCATTACAGTCTGGAGCTTATAATAAGCAAGTCTTTAGGTTCTTGTTCTAGTAAGGTGTTAAAGTTAATGATTATGTTGTTGTTGTCTGTGTGGCACCTCACACAATGGGAGATTCTGCTTAGCAATGCCTTACTGATGTCAAAGTAAATATAATCAGTAACTGCCCTGTCTGAGCTCCAAATAAGTGAACTGTCTACCACCACTGTTTGCAGTTGAAGTGGTGAGAATTGCTTTATTTGAGAAGGAATGCAAACAGTGCATATTAAAGATGATTTCTAAAACAGTGCATGAAATCCAGTTCAAATACAGAAGCATCAGTGAACTGGAGACACGTAAAAATTTTTCTCAAACAATTCCTCCAAGAAAGTATGTGACCTCTTTCAAGAGAGTGTGGCAGCAGGTGTGTCACGTCTTACTTTTCCCCTGGGAATGCCCCTAATGCCTGGGACCAAAATTACGGGGTTATTATGCAGCCAGTAGTTTTCTGTGCACACTCCTGGGAGCTTTAAAGACAGGTTTTACCTCCTCTAAAGCTCCAGTGCAAGTGAGCCACAGCAAAATTGAGAATCAGAACTGCAAACTGCTTGGTGTTCCCCAGAATTAGGTAACTTCTTGGAATAATTAGTTTTTCCCCAAGATAATCTTTGCTTGTGATCTGTAGTGTTCTCCATTAGCAGAGAACAGAATGTGCAACATTTTAACCTGTGGTGTAAAACTTAGTAAAATATTTAGAATTTATTTGAGCAAATGTAAAACAGACTACATAATAAATGCTCTCATATTTGGCACACCAACTGACAAGAAACTCCTAGCACAAAAACAAACACAAATATGTACAACTACTTTCTTCAGTTTGTTCTTATGGGTATTAGAAAAAACACAGAGGTATACTAATGGTAAATTTAAAAGCAACTGACTGCATGACTCATCAGTGCACATTCCCTGAGCATTCCCGGGTTAAAGGATGGCCATCATTTGATTTTAAATATATGCAAAATTCTCTGCATTTGCATTTCTTTCGGTAGAGTGTCTTGTCATTGCCCATCCTGGCTACTTGTCAGCAAATTCAAAATAAAGAGATTGTACATCCTTAGTCACTTATTTACAAGTACTTAGCACAAGGAGAGAGAAAAATGCTAAGAGCTTGCTCTTATCACTGCTAATTTCTTTGCTAACCCTTCAGCAGCCTGCCTGCAAGAATATATATGAAGTTCTGAATCATGTAAGCTCAGGAAAATTGTTTGTTGTTTCACTGTAATGCTTGTTATGGAAAAAAAAAGAAGTTGGTGTCCTCTGGTAAGACAGTGCAATCCCACCCCTTCAGCTGGGTGTGAGTCTGCACAACTGTTGCAACAGAAGACAGGGAACAGAAGAATTGATTCTGGCCAGCAAAGAGGCCCATTTCGACCCTCCTGCTAGCGCCCTACTAACAACAAGTGTGTGGGTCAGGTACATGTAGACGGGCTATGCATTTGCCCCCCCCACGAATTCATATCTGTTGAACCCCAAGTCCAAACTAAAATCCATACACAACTTGCCTGAAGCTGCAAGCACTACAGATACAACAGCAGCACGAGAGTGAGTGAGTGACAGTATCAGTTTGTAAACTGGGGAACGACTGTGATTCTTTTTGAGGCAGAAGAATAGGGTAGTTTTGCTACTTCCTTGTGACAGAGGGGATTAAAATTTTAGCTATTTTAGTTACAGTATAAATGGTAGAGGTATTAGTGAAGGCTCTTGGCAACCATCAATGCAGAGCAGATGCAGAAGGTAGATAAAACACTACTAAGGTACTGTAGCTGGCTGCCCCATATCTTCCACACTGCCATGGCTGCACTGGTGCTAGCACTGTTGCTGTGCTGGAAGGAGGAAGAGCCAGGAGGTGGCCTGGTCTCTCCAGATTGCATATGAGGGAGAGTTAATGGCAGAGAGAAATACTGCAGGGGAGGATGAGTTCGGAGGTGATGACAAAGTAAGAAATGCGGAGTTAAGCAGGGGCCTCTTGCTGCAAAGAAGGAAAAAAACCTGGAGGAGGGATTGCTACATTAGGTCCAGGACTTCAGGGGAAAGATGAGTGAGGGAAGAAGAAACAGGAGGAGGCCACTTGTTACCCACTATTGTGAGCTGGGAGGGGAAGGGCAGCTGTTCCCTGATGTCTGTGAAAGGGAAAGGGTAGGGAAGGAACTGGTGGGCAGGGCAAGTGTGATGGTGGGCCACGGGGCTGGGACCACTGTCAGGGGTGGAGGACTGTTTGAGGCACAGCCAGATTGATGCAGGGAGATGTGCTGGGGGACAAGGCAAAGTCCTTGGGGCCGGAGATGTGTCGGACTACGGGGAGGGAATCAGGGTGTACTCGGGGGCCGGCAGATTTGGGGAGTAGGTGGGAGGGGCCGGGTCCTGTACCTGAACCGCTCCTGCCCCGCCGTGTCCCAGAGCTGCAGCTTGACCCTCTTGCCGGGCTCGATCTCCACCAGCCGGGAGAAGAAGTCCACCCCCACGGTGGGGTCGGAGTGCAGCGGCCCCGGGAAGCGGCCCTCGGTGAAGCGGTGCAGGAGGCAGGACTTGCCCACGGTGGAGTCGCCCAGCACGATCAGCCGGAACTGGTAGATCCAGATCGCCGCGTCCATGGCGGCCCCCGCCTGGCCCGGCTCCGCCTTGGGGCTCTTCCTGGGGCTCCTGCGCGGCCGGTGCCTGCACCGCGCCCCGATCGCCCCCACGCCCGGCATCGGCGCGGCGGGCGGGCGGGGGCCAGGGCCCGGCTCCCCTAGCCCCGCTCCGGGCGCTCCGCGCCGTGGTCCCCGCCGGCGGCCCGGGCGGGGAGGGGCGGGGCGGGCGCTGTCCCTTCAGCACCTCGCTGTCCCGCACCCGCCGCGGCTCCGCGCCCACGCTGCGCCGGCTGCCCCGGCCCCTCCGGCCGCTCCGGCTGCCCCGGCCCAGCCGCCGCCGCTGTGCTCTGGGGACGCCTCTGCCGCCGCCTCTGCCGCCCGCTGGGCGGTGGCGCGGCCGAGCCGCCCGCCGGGGCCGCCCTCCCAGCGCGCCGTCATGTGCGCGGAGAGACGGGCCCTCCTCCGCGGCACGGAGGGCAGGGAGGGCGGGGAGGGCAGGGAGGGCAGCTCCCCGATGCCTTGGGGCTACAGCCCGCGGCCAGCGGCCAGCTGCCCCCACGGTGCAGGGATGGGCCGGGAGAAGGGGGATGCTGGGGCGGGGAACCCAGGCCGGCACGGAAAATCGTGGGAGAGGGATTGTTAAAGCGTGACTTTTGCAAAGGAAAGTGGGAGCAGAAAGGGAACACCGAGGAGGGGTGGGTGTGGAGGAACCAGATCGGCAGGTGAGAAAGGGGCAGGGAGCTGAAAGGAAGCTGTCCCGTGGGATGGGAGCTGGGCAGGCCGACCCGCAGAGGATCAAGCGCCGGGTGGTAATGATGGGCTGGGCAAGTGGCAAAACGGGAAAGGAGAGTTAGCAATCCAGGTATCCCCAGAGAGAACCGTGCAAACTGCCTAGAGAAAAGGCATAATACTGGAAATGACAGGGACATCACTCCTTATTTCCCAGTGGAACAAGCTGCATGTATTGGGCCTTGGTGAAAGTGCCTTTACCCGCAGTAATAGAACAATTCTGCCAGTAGAGATGCCCGTGTCAGAGAAATCTCTTTGTCCCCCTGGGATCTTCAGCTGAGTATCATCTTATGGTAAACCTGCTGAGCAATAGATTCCTCAGATTTCTTTTAAAGTCTCAGAACCACAAGGGATAACAAACACTAATAGTCCTCAGATGGCTGGTAAGGACAATGGAGTAAAATAAGAGGAAATCTTTGGACTTCTGGTAAACAGAATTGCAGCAGCTTCTTCTGTAAATTGGGCTGGGGTGAAGCAACCATGGGCGGAGTGCCTGAGAACCCAGCAGAGTAGCCTGACAGAGCTGGGAAGTAGGTTGTTGCTGGCAGAAGGTCAACAGCAAGTAGATACTGATACGAATGAACACTTTGATAGTGAAAAGGACAGGGAGAGATGGGCGACTATTTTTATTTCCCACTGCCTGTTTTCCTCTGTTAGTGTCAGGTACAAATGTAGTTAAAACTCCAACTGCCTGTAGCTGGTTAGGGGCATATCTGAAACCATTTTTTTTTTTTTTGTAAATCTGTGGGACAACTTGTGAGTATTCTCATTGTGTGAGTCTGTTTTTGTTATTGCAATTTGTTACTTGGTCACCAGTGTGAGACTAGTAGATTTCCCTAGGAGGCTTGGGTAGATCTTGCAGCTCCAAGGTGTGGAGTAGTGAGATCAAGGGCGCCTTGGCCCCTCACCTGAACAAGGGCATAGTGAAATCAAAAGAGGGATTGTATGCACCGCTCAGGATCTCGTGTCCCAGCCCCAAAATGAGTTTGTCTGGGATATGCATGGGTGGTTGGCCCTGGGGGACAGTTCCAGGTGACCCCAGAACCTTCCAGAAGAGACTTGGCCTGGCAGTCCAGAAGCTGTAAAAGGCACAGCCAGAAGCTACCACAGGGATTTTTCTTGCTATACATGCTGAAGCTGCGAAATGCCACCTGCTCCAAGAATCTGGACTCTCCAGGGACCTTTTGGGCTGGCCATTCAGTCCCCAAGACTTAGTGGTTCTATATCTGCATATGTCTCCAAGTGTGTTCCCTCCTGAATCCTGCACATTTCTCCATTGTACTTTCACCAGCTCTTTACCTTAAAATAAGTTGAATGTAGTTTGTACTTGACAAGTTGCTCCTTTGAGAAATAATTAAAACAATGTTAACTCAGATACATGAACCTTCGTAAGGCTAAAATCAGTCTATTTCTTGCAGTTCTGCATGGGATGTGATTACAGGTGATTCCTGGGATCTAAGTGTTCTGGAAACAGTGGCATGTAGATACAAGAAGTATTAATGTGTGAAACAGAGGTTTGAGGTATGTGATATCAGTAGCTCTGATGCTTGCTGAATGTAAACAGGACAAAATTTTCAGTGGACTTTGATCAGAATATAACACCTACATCCTTCATGGATTGCCACCCTGGCTAACACCCATCGGTCTTCAAAGCCTCCAGTATGTGCTGTCTAACTCAGATGCACAGTAGATTGCTGTCCTTTGCACATCTGGGTTGGAAGAACCTCACTTTAATGAGTTACACAGCTCATTTCATTCCTGACAGGTGAGCAAAGTCAATTTGCCTTTGGCATTTACAGTTGAACTAAATATGTTTGCATATATTTTCAGGCTTCCACAATCTGGTCTGTCTACCTAAGCTTGTCATTGTAGAAAGGCAGTGGTATATAAATTCACATATCTCAAACACAACCTTATACCTTCACTTGTGATCTCTTCAGTGTCATATGATAAATGCTACCTAGGGAGCCTGCATTTGTATTGTCTGTTGTGAACAAGGTGGGTGAATTTTATGTCCAAGTCGTTCAGTTTTTGTTCGTTTACCAGTGAGTACAGAGGCTGTGACAGAATGCAGTCCATCACAAAGTTATCAGACCAGCAGTCAGAAGAAACTATCACGAAGGGGTATGTTTTGTGGAGCTATGATGATTAGAGCAGAGTGATTAAAGCAGCAACATGAACCTTACTTTCCTTCAGAGAATTTCTACCACTTGTGCATTGGCAGCTTCAATCTGCTCTTCCCAGACAGAGTGAAGCAAACCTAAATTCTGGGAAATGAATAAAAGAGCCAAACAACCCCAAACTTCCAAATCTGCTCCAGTCCTAGCTAGATAACTGCACTAAGCTGTAAATCCAAGATGTTTGAATCTAAGAATTCCTCATTTCTTGTGACATTTTTGACCTGCATGGATTTTTCCCAACCACTGGTAAGTGGGTAGGTTACTAATGACTGCATAGATCACTCCTGAACAGTGTGCACACACTCTAACATAGAAATTTAGAGAAGCACAGATGAAAGTAATTAGTTATCAACCCAAGACAGCTTGAGACTGAGAAACTGTGCCTTCTGCTGCTAACCAAGAACCTAGAAGAACCTGAGGGACTAGTCTGGACGCAAGATGCCACCCATTCCTGTTTTAATTACCTAGGCTATTGGTCTGGAGGCTGATACAGCTACTCATTTTATCCCAGGACAAGTTTCAATAGATACAAAGAATTGATTTTTTTTTTTTTTTTGGCTGAAAACTATCTTATTTTTGATAGAGTAGTACTGAAGGTGGAATACTCCCTACTAATGAGCAATGACTTTTCTTCCTCTAAGATGTTATCAAGCCAGGTAGGTTTCATATGATGGTGGGAAGGACATTTCTTAAATGACAACCTCATAGAAGATGTCCTTGTTTGATAAGGGTGTTGTTGGGATAAATATGTACATGAAAAAAACATCAGTATAAACACTGGGAAAAAAAGCAACTTGCAGAGCTGAGTCATCAGAATCCATGAATGGATTTATATATAAAGATATAAATATATAAATAAATAAATATCTACATACAGAACCACTTTGTTTGTGAAGTATTAAAATTGCTCTGTGGAGGTGATGCAAGGGAAATTACTCCACAGCAGAATGAACTCACAGAGGCAGTTAGTGGAGAAAAGAAACACCCAGCTGGGACAAGAAAAAATTCTCCTGACTCCTCAGACCTGATCTTCCAGAAATACCTAAAGCACGGTTTCAAAAACAAACCTGAGAAATAAAAGTCCCAACTTTACAGAATATTAAAAATCAAGGACTGAGTATTAAATCAATAGCCATTTTTTTAGCCATTAAATATTTTTATACTTTTCCTCTCATCAACTCTTCAGCTATCCGTGTTCCACACTAGTAAACAACATCTACCTGGTCTGTAGGCCCATCATTGTCTCACCCCTGTTTGCCAACTGTCTCGTCCCTCAAAATGTTAGTATTATTTTGTTATATTATACTCAGAGCAATGACTCCTACCTTGATCTTTGCTGTGTCTAGACTAGACATACTACAAGAAAAAATGTATTTCCTTCCCAAACATCTGTGTATTCCAGGGGCAATGGATGGTATCTAGCTCTGCAAAGTCTTGCCATCTGAGACATTAAAGATGACATCTTAGACAACCACAGTTACAAAAGCACATCTGACTCGGTAAAGTGTCAGGAAAATACAGGAACATGCATTGTGCTCCACTAAAATACTGACCTGAATTTGTTCACACTGACATTTCAGGGATAATGCCTAAACTGCACGAGAATCTGTCTTTGGGCAGGATTAGATTGCCTTTATGTGAGATAAAGAACCTACCCCAAAATAGCAATTTATTCTGTTATCTAAAACAAGTGAAATATTTGTTCTCATGCTTTCTTTTTTGTAATTTCACTCTTACACCTCGCTTTTCCATTTGTCACTTGGAACAATTCCTTCTAGGATTCTATACCTTCTTTGCTCTGATGTAAGTCCATCTCCTACATCTCTTTTCTGTTTGGGAAATGCTGGTGTGTGAAACGATAAATTTCCACTAACAAATAATGCTTTTTGAGCTTAGTGCCATGGACCCTTTGGGCATGTTGATCAGAGAGGTGCTTTTCTCTGCATTTCATAATCTCTGAAGGAACCCAATCCTACAATTCATTCCTCACTATCATTGTCATCTGTTTTTCACAGATTCCCACTTTAGCCAATATGCAATCTCTGATGATTTCTTAAGAGGTGTATTGCTTTTAATTGCCATCGTAACCGTAATTGCTGAGCTAATTCAGGACAGGCAGGCCAGTCTACCTGCACTATTTGCAAACATTAAACAAAGAAGTTCCCTGTATGGTAAGTTCCACTGAGTTTAATCTATCTTGAAGAATTGCCCAGATAAATGAGATGTGATAACATCTGCCAAGTTTGAACGGGCTAGATTAATCCAGTATGAGCTGGTAGCACAGGTAATGTTTCTTTTCTTGTACATTACTTGGATGAGGGGGCTGGAG